TATTGCCATAAAACTAATGCAGAGTTAGGGAACTCTGAACAGTGAAAAAGTAACTTATAGTGTCTTGGAACTAAGTATAGTACATACCAGCAAACTTTTCTTTTATCCCTCTTGTCTGTGTGGGGTGCTTAACGTAACTTCATTGTATTTGGTTTGTAACCTGTTCAAGCATGAATGAAGAAAACATAAGCACTATTTGTATTTATAAATTTATAGCAATTTTTGCTTAAAAGAACCAACTCCTTACCTACCTATGAATAAATGCTTAAAATGTCTAATTTTGTTGTAGAGTGCAAAACTATGATAATGTTAAGTTATAGCTTCACTGGCACCTGATTAACGAGCATATTTAATACATGGCGTATTAGTACAAAAAAAGCTAAACTTAATTTAGGACTAGGCAGGTAAAGTTTTGTCCTCTTTTTCATGTAGATGAAAGTTTAGGTTTGGAAACTGCAAAACCTGGAACTGGACTGTGGAACGTTTGAGTTAAAACTTTAAAAATCACAAAGTGAAACTGGTGTGGAAAGCCATACTTAAAACTATAATCACTTAAACTCTCAGTGACAAATGCTGTGTTTGAGGCCTCTTTATATGAGGTCTTAAAAGATTATAAAGAAAATAACTCTTCTGCTATTGCCACAGGCGCTGTGAGTAGGTTGGAGGGTAGGAGGAGAAAGACTGTTTCAGTTCTTTCTTCTGCTCCTGTTCAGTGTTTTGATGAGTTCAGAGCACTGAATCTCTTATGTATGCATAAACACTGCCATTTTAGATACAGATTTTGATGACAAAATATATGAATTAAGTATATAAAGCATCCTAGAAAAGAGACAAACTGTACTTTTCACTGCTCTGAAAAGAAAAAGGCACTTTTGCACCTTTGTGCATCTCCTTCTTGCACCAGAAACTTTTTTTTTAAATGCTAAAAACATTAGCACCTCAGGGGCAAGGCAGTAATTTTTTTGAAGTGTTGTGTGCTATTTATTTCCCTCTTGGAAAGAGATTCCTGTGTGACAAAAATGAAAAATGTGTGATGTTAAACGATGTATTTTTAAATACATGTTCAAATAGGATGGTCCCAATTTGCTTGTTTTTTTAAAAGGAAATGCTATTTGTAAAGCTCCTTTGGTTCATATGCCATGCAAGTTTGTTTTCCTTTTACATTTTACAGCTTCGCTGCTTTCAATTTTTGTGAGTTTTGTTATAGTCAGATTAAATGTTTCGCTGATCATTCTGGGAAAATACCTGTACTGCTTTATAGACAACTGTTCAAACTATTCTCACTAATTCAGCATTGAGACGTGTTCAAGACAGAGGCTTTTAAAATGTATTTTAAAAAATGTTGGATTAACTCAATGTAATTACATTAAGTTCGAGATTTGCCAGACTTCAAGTCCTTTGTGGCAGTAGGGTCCTGTTGCACATGGTGGGGCAGAAGCTGTGCAAAGCCGGGGCCTTTCATTTGGCTTTTCCATCTTCTTCGGGCAATGCTGCTGCAAAGAGCTTGGGGCTTGGCCCTCGTTCCTTTTAATCTTCCAGCAAAAGTCAGAAATGGAAAGAGAATTTGCATCTGCCTGTCATTAAATTGTGCTGAATTGTGGTAATCCTAGGATGTCTCATACCAGCAAGATGCTTGAAGAGTATTAAGCAAAAGATGAGGAATTATTGCACTTTACTGCGATGGTTTGTGTAGGTACCGATGCTAGCCCTTTAAAAATATACTTAGAGTATTGACCCTTACAAAATGTCCTTTAGATGGTTTTTACTGCCATCTACATAGATTAAACCTGGAGTATTTCACTCAGTTCAAGAATGGGAGAGTCGGAAATCTAACAAAAGCAGTTTTCACTGCAACTAATTCCCTGGTAAGAATCTCGTTAATTTGTTACCCTGGGATAGGGTAGACTGCCCATTGCATTGTATTTTTTAATACTTAAAGGACAAAGGATGCTGTTTCCTAGTGAGTTAATATTAAGCCTGACCTCCTCCTGTAAGTCTTCTCCTACTGCCTCTTTCGTGCTGGCAATAGTGCGTGTGTGGCCATGAAGTTAGGAAAACACATCCACTCAGCTGGATAAACTGATAATCCAGCTACCCAAGAGCAGCACCAGGGCACGATGCAGGGGGAGAAGAGAGCTGGGAGAGCCAGGGAAGGGTCACCTGCTCCTTCGGGCACAGACTGGGAACCCGCACCCTGAACTCGGATTATCCGTTGGCTGTGTAGGGAGTCATGGAGGCCTTTGCTTCCAGACCTTTCCCACAGTAGACCTCAGACAAACATTTTTGCTTTGGTAAATGTTCTGTTTCTTAAAACTGATATTGTGAACTGTTGGGTTTAATGTCTAATACAGGGTTTCCATGCTGACAAGCTTGCTTTTTATTAGCTCTCTACTGATGGAGGTAGCTCTAAGACAGCGACAGCACGGCTGCCTTGGTTAGGTTAGTGAAATGGCTGTTTTGGTTTACCTCTTCCAACACACATCAGGATTTCAATATAAGATATTTGTTTATTTAATCTTTACTTGTCACCTTCTTGAATTTTTGTGCACACTTGATATATTTAAATTTCTAGATATTTAAACCTGGCATGTCAGTAATCGGATAACCACTGAGTAAGATGTTATCTTTCATCATTGGATGAAATATACATCCAATACAGTAGTAAAAACTGAGATTCCTTAGGTTAAGAAACAGCAAAATGTGTAGAACTGTACCTGGCAAGAATTTTCTGCAGAAAATGGTGTTATTCTGTGCCAGGCTTCATTAGGTGTACAAATGGCATCTTCTGGGTAAATAATATAGCTCCTGGTGTCTGAGATGATGACAACAAGAGCCTTTACATACCAGTACAGGAGTGTGAAGTCTCTGGATGGATAGAGATTTAATTATTTAATTGGTAAAGAGCGACTCCATGCACATGAATTTCCAGGATACTCTAGTGTCTGAAGCGAATAATCTTTTGGCTGTGAACCACAAAACCACTGTAAAAACTGAGCAAATTTTGAAAGTAGAATCTGAGCTAAGTCTGTTTTACTGACTAGCATATAGAATATTGCTCAAAATACCTGAGCTTAAGTTGTGGGAAAACCGTTAAAACTTTATGTTCATGGACCACAAGGTGCTTGCAAATAGAGAAGGAGCACGTAGAATGCTAAAAGTTGAATTTACTTATTGTCCCATTGGAAAACTTCCAGAGAAACCTAGATATTTCTACCGTTTTAATAAGTGAAAAAAAGTCAGATGGTATAATCTGGTAGTGTCTAAGTTGTTGACCTTCAGTGAACTAGATTTTATGAATAATCCCAGGTTTATTTTATTTGAGGTTCCTTTTGACTAGCTATAAAGCACGTTTTCCTTCATGTCGACGCTGTGCTAAGGTCCCTGCTTCCAAGCTACAAGACTACAGAGTGGTGGTGTCCTAGGAAATGGGGTTTGAGGGGATGGCTGGCTTTAGATATGATAGAAAAACCCTAGTCTTTGCAATCAGAAAATTAGAGAAAGTAGGCTTAATTTTAAAAATGCCTTTTATAGGATTAATGAAACAGTTCTACCCTGAAAGAGTTGGAACTTGAGTAGAGGTGGGATGATAGGTCTGATATCTAGAGTATTGGTTTATGTGCGTAGCCAGATTTTCACATTTAACTCAATTTTATTACTACCTGAATACTTTTAAAAATATTACCTCTTTTTTTTTTAATAAAACCAAGGGTGCTTATTGCTGTGTAACCAGTAACTTATTTGCAAGAGCAAATGTTATGTCAGGTAGTAGCATTTTCCTTTAAGAGCGCTGCCTCTGTAGTTCCCAAGTTGCTTGATGACGTTGAGCCAAAACTGAAACTAATTTTTGCTTCCATTGGTCATATCACTCAAACCCATTGATTTTTACAGCTAAAATAGACAACACTCTCAATACTTACTGTGAGTGAGCTCCAAAGTGAAGGAGTTGCCACTATTTCTTTTGAGAAGCCCCATCTTGTAAAGAAAACGGATAAAACTGGGCCTGGAAATCACAAAACATAATCTTACTTATGTCAGTAAGATCTTCAGGCCTTAATTTCCCTTACATTGCTGAAGCCACCTCAATTCGACCATTGGAAGTGTGAGCAGCCAATTTCATTTTCCCTGTTGCAATTTTGGACCAGATCATAGTATTTGTGCTCAGAGGAGAAAACTAAAATAAGATGATCTTGAGAAACTCAGGTTTATATTTACCTTCACATCCTACTGGAGCTGATGGAGCTTCACTCGCAATATGTTTGTACACAGTTTATACACGTATAGTTGGAGACTTATCTGTGCTATTTTTGTGATCT